AAGAAGAAGGATGGGAGTTTCAGAATGTGCATTTATTACAAAGAATTAAATAAGTTTGTAGTTAAAAATAAATACCTATTTCCCATAATTAATGACTTATTTTATCAGCTTAGGGAGCTACAATTTTTTGTAAGATTGATTTGCATTTAGGATATCACCAGTTGCACATTAAGGAAGATTATATTATTATCACCAGTTGCACATTAAATTTTTAGTGGTAAAATTCCTCAGGTGTTCAGAGGCTGATTTGTGCCTCATTATGTGAGGGCATAAATGCAGAATAAATTTCTAAGGCTGGTGCAATGAGACATATTTGTTATGCAATATGAAGTAGAATTCACTTCCTTATCTATATATGTTACTCAATTAGTTCATACTGTAGAAAAAAATATCATTGATTTTTATCTAGGTTAAAAGATGCTATCAGTCATCCTCTTGTTCTTTTAGGGATTAAAGATTATTCTGTATTAGTGGAGAGAGCTAGAAGGATTGAAATTGATATTCAAAATACCCAAAGGAGGTGTGATTTTCAAAAAAGAAAGAATGTAGATGTTATGAGAGCTTCCCAGGATTCTCAAGTTAGTTCATTTTCACAATTTGGGAAGTCTAATTAGAAGAAGATAAAACCTAATAGTTGTGTTAGTCAAATGAGCCTGAATAACTGCAACAAGTGTGGAAAACAACACAACGGAGAATATACTTTTGGGATAAATATTTGCTTATGGTGTCATTAACCTGGATATATAGTTAAGAACTGCCCTACTCTGGGGCAAAGACCATTAGAAGAATTATGGATGAATGTTGGATCCTCTCTGAGAAATGTTGGCAGATCGAGGACTAAGTCAAAGTCGACCAAAAACTCAGCCTAGAGTATATGCATTATCTCAACAGGATGCTAAAGACTCACCTGAAGTGATTATAAGTATGTTTTTCATTTAATTTATGTGAATTTCAATTACTTGCATGATTAATCAAATAATACATAAATAATTAAAAAAAGAATTATATATATATGTGTGTGTGTTATAGTTCATATAAAAATTTTATAGGTATGATAACAATTTAAGATAGACTTGTACAAATTCTCTTTGATACGGGAGCCTTATATTTCTTCATCATCGAGGAATTTTCTAAATCTTTTGGGTTGAATGTTTATAAAACACCAAGAATTTTAGAAATTTTGATGCCAAATGAGTCCAAACTGAATGCTAATAATTTATGTCAAATTGATTTCAAAATAAATGAGAGAAAATTTGAAGCAACCCCTAATGTGTTACCATTGCATGAATTTGATATGATCTTGGGAATGGATTGGTTCTCAAATCACTTTGTGATCATAAACTACAAAAAGAAGATTGTTAAATTTAAATTTTCGGGTGAAAAAAATTATAAATTTTATGGAGATGGAAGAATTACTTCAATGATGATCACTTATATGAAAGTTGGTAAATTTCTATTTTAGGGATATCAAGGTTTTCTTTCTCGAGTAAGAGGTACAAATAAAAAAGTTAAAGAGTTGAAAGATATACCTGTAGTGAAAGAATATCAAGAGGTGTTTCTAGATGACTTGTCAGGATTACCATCGGAAAGAGAAATATGATTCACTATCGGTCTATTATTGGGTTTCAGAATTAGTAGTAAAAGCACTTTATAAAATGATAGTTAAGGAATTGCAGGAGCTAAAAAGTAAACTGCAGGAATTGCTAGACCAAGTTCATTACCTTGGGGAGCTCCAGTGTTGTTTGTAATGAAGAAGGATGGGAGTTTCAGAATGTGCATTTATTACAATGAATTAAATAAGCTTATAGCTAAAAATAAATACCCATTGCCTAGAATTAATGACTTATTTGATCAGCTTAAGGAGCTACAGTTTTCTGTAAGATTGATTTGCGTTTAGGATATCACCACTTGCACATGAAGGAAAAGTATATTATTAAAACTATATTCAGAACAAGATATGACCATTATGAATTTATAGTGGTGCCATTTAAAGTGACAGATGCTCCAACAATATTTATGAATCTATTGAACTGAATTTTAAAACATTTTTTTGGACATATTTGTGATCGTATTTATATATGATATTTTGATTTATTCAAGATATCAAGAAAATCATTCAAATTGTTTGCATGCAGTATTGCAAACATTTAAGGAGAATAAACTATAGGCTAAATTCTCAAACTGTGACTTCTAGTTAAAAAGTGTAAATTTTCTTCGTTATGTGATTAGTGGTGAAGGTATTTCTGTGAAACAAAATAAAATTAAAGCTATTGCAAAATGGCCAGGGCCGTCTACAATTTCAAAATTAATGAGTGTTCAGGGTCTTGTTGGTTATTAAAGGAAGTTTGTGGAAGGATTTTCTCAGATTGCAATGTCGTTATCAAGATTAACGCAAAAGATAATAAAATTGGAATGGGACAATCAATGTGAAGGAGCTTTTTAGATTTTAAAGAATTGCTTAATGACTGTTCCAATTTTAACAATTCTAACAGGTGCAAAGGGATTCCAAATTTTATGTGATGTTTTCTTGAGGGGATTAGGTTGTGTATTGATGCAACATGATAAAGTAGTGACATATGTTTCAAGACAGTTAAAAAGCGGGAAATAAATTATCCCACCCATGATTTGGAATTAGTAGCTATGATTTTTGCAGTTAAAATTTGGAGGCATTATTTATATGAAGTTAGGTGTGAAGTTTTTATAGATAATAAAAGCCTTAAATACATATTTAATCTGAAAGAGCTCAATCTAAGACAGACGATGGTTGGAGCTCATTAAAGATCATAACTTGGATATGCAATATCTTCTTAGAAAGACAAATATAGTTGCAGATGCATTAAGCAAAAAGAATTTTTGATTTACAAATTAGTTAATTATGCAATAGAAGCAATAATTATAGATATGAAAATACTGAAAATTTAGTGGTAAAATATGAAGGATACAAGATTTATATTATTAAATCGGTTGGTGATTCAATTCACATTGAATGATAGAATATGTAATTCTTTATTTCAAGACATTAATTTCCAAGAAATCATAAAGATATTTCAGGTAGGACAGTTGAAAATTATAGATATTTTATTGATTGGGAATCTTTTCTTATTTAATACTCTGCACCCGGGTGCTGATGCAGTGGCCCTTGCACACTTCTCATTGTATTTAGGCCATACAACATACGCTTCCAGGAAACGCCTTGACATTAACATTATGTATTAAAGGATTCATGTCATAATTATTCGACAAGTTTTATTCTGGCTGTCGACTACCTAATACAACTCTCCATTTTTTTCATCTAGGACTTGGGACTTGGCAATAGTAGTGTTTTGTAGAACTTGGAATATGCTTTAAATCCTAACTAAGACTCAATGCCTACTCGGGTTGTTAGCCTAGTCACAATGCCTACTCACATAATTAGTGATCCACTCCCTCCAGTGGTTTTGCTTTTGACGCTTCATTTTTGGGTGATCCAGACTCTTTTTCTATTACTTCCGATATTAGCATCTCTAATACACAGGATATTTGGACAAGAACTTTCAAATCCTATATGCTGGAGTCGAGGAAATAACAGGAAAGTATTTCACCACTCTCCAAAACATATCGGTTTCAAATTATATGGTTCTAACATTGACCCCTGCAGATTTTTCTCTTGGGTTGGCTTGTCGATCCATTTTATTTTTAGTTATTTTCATCTAGTTATATTTTGCTTTAAAAATATCGTGCTTTGGCTTGAAGTGCTTCCACTATAAAGGTACATATTATTGTTATTGCGTCCTCTCAGCTGATCATTTCATTCGTCATGGATCTTAGCTACATTTAGGGCTACTTTGTGTCAACATGATTGTCCAAAAATGATATAAATGGCCCTACTACTTAAAAAGAAAGGAAAAGTAATAAATAGAGAAGTAAAAGTTACTAATACCCAGTCTAACATGTTGTTGAGTAGGATACTGCTAACGATGGTAAATGACTTCATGACCTCTAGCAACTCTTTCGGTGTGAAAACTATCCTCTGGAGGGACTATAACTCTTGTTATTGGTTAGTGGTAAAAAGGAGTTAGCAATGCAGGCAAGCTCTTCATAGTTCATCCATGCGTCGTTTGATGGTGGCATTCTCGCCAAAAAAAAAAAAAGGATTGAATGAACGGCAAATTATCTAATTGTTATCTGATTTGTTAGAATCTGGTCGAATTCGTGATGGCTGAGCTCTGTGAATGCTCGAAGTTTCGATTAGGCAAAATATTTCCTCATTAAAAATAGGATCAATACGCTTGTTAGATCTGTAAGAGCTTTGTAAGGTCTAGAGGCTTGGGCGTGTTGTTTTTTGTAGGTATTCTGCAGGAAGAATTCAGGGCGAATATGAACTAAAATATAGCTACCTTATTTTAAATTTACCTACCATCATTTGGAGGCTTTTATGATTAATGAGACAATTCAACTGTTCCTCTTAGGTCTCCTCTCCCTCCATGGTGGTTTCCATCAGAGTCCTGTATGGGGTACCCATACCCACATCCACCCAAACCCAATGGGTATGGGTGGGTATGAGAACACCCATGGCCTCATGGGTGGATATGGGTGGGTATTCAGCATCGAGGGATAAATAGATTTACGTTGTTAATTACTCTATGTCGTATATTAGTGCAATCCTTACTACGTAATACTCAGCACTGAATCTTACTATGACCACAATGAATTTTGATATGGGGCTCAAAAGTTTGCATTCAAAGAAAAGGGCAACAAGCCTCAAGTCCATCAGTCCATGACGGACTGCATTCAAAAAGCAAGGGAAGTGGGTGGGTATGGGTTGGTACAACGTCTGTAAAGTCGCCATGGGTGGGTGTGGTTGGACAAAGCCCACCCATGCATAGAGTTGGTACCCAATGGGTACCCATCTAGGACCCCGTGCAGGACTTTGATTTCCATCCCCCTTGCTGTTGATGCCAATATCCTATATTGTCGATATTGCTGCTTATCTGATTATTTTCTTTGTTAAATTTCTGTAGGTTCAAAGCATCAATCTCACCAAGATTACATGGAAAAAGCTGATAAAGCACGGAGCCAAAGGCTTTCTTCTGGTCAACCGTCTGTAAAACAAGCCAACTGATCTTAGACAAGCAAGCTTTAGTGACTGGCTGCTAAGTTCAGTTTCCTGCTCAAACCAGACTCTTGTGTTGATATTTTTTGGATTTTCCTATTCACAGGGGACTATACTCTCCTTCTGCTTTAGTTTTATTTAAATTCAGTGCCCAGTTCATGTGATAAATAAGCTAAGCAATGCCAATCTATTTGAAATCTTGAACGCAGAAATGTAGTTGTTAAGATGTAGAGAAACGTTTATTCAATTGAGGTTCTTTGAAGTTGGGGTATATTCTTGTCCAACAACAACAACAATATCAACTATATGAGGTCAACAACTAGAGTCCTTTTTCTTCATTATATCTTGTTGAAATTTAAATTCTTATTTAATTCTAATAAAAAATATTTTTAATATTTTCTAATCAAATCTTTAAGTTTATCTATTCATTTTTTGACATAGGTCAAATCTAATTTATCTACTCTCATATCCGGATCATCGAAAGGCCGATGTTTTATATGGCTAAATCATCTAAGGTGGCTCTTTCTAATCTTATTTATCATTGGAGCTACTTCAACCTTTTCCTGTATATACTCGTTTCACATTTTGTTTGCAAGAGTAAAGCCACTCATTCACCTAAACATCCTCATCTATGCAACACTACACTTAATTTTATTCATATCTTTTAATAGCCAATATTTTGCGCTATAAAGCATTATAAGTCTCACCATCATCTTATAGATTTTTTGAGAGTTACTTTTTTATCACAAAACATATCTTATGCATTTTTCTATTCCAACCATCCAACTTGAATTCTACTAATAATGAAAATGAAATGAAATTCAAATAATTTGGGAGTTGATTATTAATCAGTAACCATTGATTTGAGTTTTTTTAATGCAAATAGCTTACTTAATGATGTGATAGATACATTTTTCACTTTGCTTCTGTTGTCCCTTTTTACCATAATATGTTGGCTGTTAAAATATTTTAAAGTTATTTTGAGCATTTCTATGAATAAAAAAAAATTATTTTTTAAATAAATATATTAAAAAAAATAATATCAAAATAGACCCTAAACAAATGAATAAGAAGTAAAAAAAATAGTAGCCAGTAGCTTAAGGATTGCACTCAACAGGGCAGGAGCAGCCGAAGTCATTGTTTTTACCAAGGGAATTAATCTTTGCTGACATGCAATGGCAGTAGTTTTTTTTTTTTTTTTAATTTCTATTTTGTGGGAAACTATGACTTAGACTCCATTTGGGGAGTTTTTCTTTCTGCTTTTTAAAGCCACTTTTTAGTATAAAAAATAAAATTTTTGTACAAGAAAGCTGCTTTAAGAAGCAGAAAGAAAGCCGTCCCAAACAAAGTCTTAGACTTTCAGCAACAAAAGCGGTAAGTAAAGAGTTATGAGGAAAATATTAGTTAGTTGTTGAATTCAATTTTATCTATGAGGTAGCTACGAGTTATCCTTACAAGCTTGTATGAGTATAGAGTAGTAATTCGGATGTTGGGGGTTCTCGTCAAGTAAAATGTCTTAGAATAAGTCATTAACTTCCTTATTGTACTGTTCATATATAGGAACGCCTTGAAACTAATGTCGGGTGGCAATGGACGGCAGTGATGATGCTTGATGGCGGGTGGCAACGACGGTGATGGCCAATAGATGGTGATTGGTAGCAGTGTCAGCCACAGCGGGTGGTGGTGGTAAGAGTGGTGTGATGATTGCGACAGGCGGTGATGGCGAAGGCTGCAGGTGATGACAATGACAATAAATTTGTGTATTTAGAAATCACTCAAATCAGATAAATTCTAAATGCACCAACTTTATATTAGATGGTGCATGTGAAATATATCAAAATTTTGCACTCATTTGTTTTACTTTAAATAATACAACTATTTTCAAAACCTTGTATTTGTAATACTTATAAATATTTTACTTTAAACCAAATGACCGCTAAAGCTTACATAGCACTCATTGGCATGAGGAGATAGTGGCATTAATATCATTAAGCTACAACTAGTATGATTGATTCAAAACTTGCTTTAGGACATCAAAACATCACTAGCTTTAGGATGTTTTGATGATGTTTTGATGAGGACAGTTGACCTTGGTGCTACAATAAGATTTAATAGATTTCATTTGAGATAATTTTTTGTTATTATTTTTTTACTAATAAGATAATTTTGTATTAAAAAAATATTATAAAAATCAGTAAGAAAATTATCACAATTTTTTTTAATTATTTAAATATTTGGAATAATTGATGGAAGATTAAGTTTTGATGATTTCTTTTTAATCAGTTTTAAGATATATTAAAATAATTGATGTATGGAATTATTGTGCCTGAAAAGCTATATCTATATACTATTATTATAAAAATTGCTTGAATTTCTTCCCAAATTAAATCTGAACCTTTCATTTTTTTTTTTTACCAAATGTAAATATAGACCACTCATTTCATTATTATCTTCAAAATAATTCTTTGAATACCTTGCCGCCTCCTCATAGCTCCGCTTAATCACACTTTCTTTAGGCTCCGTATGGGCAAATTATTGCATCCGGTCACCGGACGCGGAAAATAGGTTCTGACATCCAATAAAAATTTGCCACGTCACCTGCGCTTTTGACTTGCGCTTTAGTTGCGCTTTGACTGCACTTTGACCTGCGCTTTACCTACACTTTACCTGCACTTTACTTGCGCTTTACCTGCACTTTTGATGCGCTTAATTTAAAATAATATTTTATTAATATCCGGACCTATCTCCGCGTCCGGTGACCGGATGCAATAATTTGCCCTCCGTATGAGGCTAATTATATAGAAGGTTGTGTGCTCAAAGCAAGCATGCGTATTAATATTATAAAAGTGGCTTTTGATTTTACTCATTAAAAATTTTTATATTTAATTTGATTATTTTAGTCTTAACATTTTATTTCCAATGACTGTAAAAATAGAACTTCCACTTGGACCCAACAACAAGAATTAAAATTTGAAAGATTTACTATCTTTTATTGATACTATTAATGTGTCATTATTCAAAATTTTAAATTTTGATTTATTCCTCATTTAACTCTCCAAATTCTTATTTGATATCTAAAATATTCCCCCTTCAATTTGCTTCTAATTAATTTCTTCTCATTAGATTTTCATTTCTCCTTGCTTCACATTTTCAACTTACTCGTCTTTAAGTCCGACCGACCCTCATTTGACTCTACAATTCTATTACATCCACCATTTTTAACACTGGAAGAGTAGACAAATTTACAGGATTTAAGATCTATTGCTCATGTGACTTTTTCAAGCTTTAGCTATTTCTTCACCATGAACTATCCTTCTCCTTAACACGGTGGTGTATTTTTTCTCATTTGTTTTTCGAGGATTAGATGGGGGCATTTAAAGAATATTAACCAAAATATTTTTGTGAGTAAGATTTTAGATCTTAAGATTTTGTCTGTGCATGAGGATGCTAATCTTTTGCTTTGATAAAAAACAAGACGTAAATTTATTTGTTGGTGCTTTACATTGGAAGTAAAACTATAATATAAAGTTTAATTCTATAATTTTTATTGTTTGCTTAATATTTCTTTTGAGGTAAGCTAATGAGAATATTTTGATGCAACTAACATGATAATAATAAAAAAATGCCTTTCAAATAAACCTCAAATTTTACTTTTACATTCCCTTTTACATATCTTATAAAAAAAATGGTACATGGTTGGTGGTTAGAGAAGATGGTCACTAGTAATGGTCAACAATAGTCAAAGGTGATCATGTCATGTGTATTGATTTGTTTAAGGTTTAGATGATTGAACAAACTTCATTTTATAAAGTGCATGTTAATCGAGTTTATATGTCAAGGAAAAGATCACCTTGTTTAGAACTCAGTCTTTTCTCATTTTGAAGTTCATACAAAAGGGGGATTCATTGCAAACTTTTTTCAAAAAGAGAGATCTTTTGTTGAGTACCATATGAGTAGAACTTTTTCATTTTATAATTCATTATGTTTGCTATATATTTATGTGATATTATTAATTTGATGAACAAATTTTAATATATAATCAAGTAGCCTATATCCTCCTTTTTGGTTCTATTGTATGTATGTATCCAATTTACACTATAATCTCTTATCATGATCAATTAATAATGTCCTATTTATCAACATATTTCTTCTCTTTAACTTGTTTTTAGTAAATGTGATGTTTTAGAAACTTTTGGTATATTTATTATAGTATAATTCAAATGGTTGAATGTATGATCAATGAATAGCATGAATTTTAAATTTGTATTTTATAGCTCATGAATAAATATTCTATTGTTTACAATTTTAAATAAGAGGAATTAAACTTTATATAGTTTGGTTTCATTAAAGTTTGCAACTATGAACATCTAGTGAAATAAGACTTGAAATAAAATAGTTAGTTGCAATTGCTTGTTAAAGGTTGAATATTTATCTCACTTATTTAAATATTACTTGCTCATCTTATGATGGTTTGTAGATTTCAAGTCCCGCATATTTTGAAAAAAATACTTAATTTTATAAAAATTTTGTTGACCAAAATTTTGAAAAAATTTAGACAAAATTGAAGGTGAAAACTTTTATGCATGATCTTCACTCTACTTTTGATATTATTCTCTACTTATCTGTTTCATCTCAATATTGGCCAAGTTTTGGGTTTCATTGCTAGGAGGGATGATTTATCCACTAGGGCAAATCATGACTTTTAATTATTGGTTTGTGATTTGATTTACTATCTATCGAGGGAATGCAATTGAAGAAAATTTAGAATTCAGATCAAATGTTACTCTTATGTTATATGGGAAATCAAATAAAACTAAAATCATATTTTCCTTATATTCTACCACTCCATTGAAGCCATGAGATACTTGTATTCATTGTGAAAGGATGCCATTGACGGGGAAGACAGTCGTTGATAGTAATTTTTTATGGAAGGTTTAAATGGAATGTTAGAATTGATTAAAAGAGGGGTTTTAGGCGGTATATTAGTAAATATAGAAGTTTAGATGTTAAATATATATTTTCAATAGGTTTAGGTATTATGTATGTAAGAATCCCTAAATATAATTGCATATATGATAAGAGGGATAATTTTTCCGATTACTTGCATTAAATTCCTGAATAAATATGTGCTCGGTTCTTGTTTCATGGTGATATCGATGATATGGAATTGCAACTTGTATCATAGAAGAGTACATGCAAACCTCTTCTTTATGATGGTATTTTCATTCCTCACATTCCCCATCTCATTTTTGCTCATAATTGTGCTTTTATTTGATGTGGATTAACTAAAAAGTACTCCTTAGTTCAACTATTTCAAGCATAAATAGTTATCTTTATGGAAATAGGGCAACTCTAATGCTTCTAAATGGTGGAAAAGCTTAAAAAAGGCTACAAATTTCATGTTTGCTCTTATGAAGTTTAATGTTATGGAAGGTTGTAACTTTTCTTTCTTTTGGGACCCTTAGATTAATGGTAATGGTAATTCTAAAACTTGGATGGAGATTACCTTATTTGCTCTATGATTAGACTAGATTCTCTTATATCTTATTTCATCCACAATGCCACAATGGGCCTTGACAATTATCACTAACATTTCCTTAATGAATAAGACACATTATCTCCTTTGTTCCCGTTCTTAGAGAAGGTGATTATTATATCAATTGGGATGGAAAGACAAAATTGAAGGTGAAAACTTATATGCATTCTCTTCACTATACTTTTGATATTATTCTCTACTAATATGTTTCATCCCAATATTGGCCAAGTTTTGGGTTTCATTGCTGGGAGGGATGATTTATCCACTAGGGTAAACGATGGCTTTTATTTATTGGCTTGTGATTTGATTTACTATCTATCAAGGGAACCCAATGGAAGAAAATTTGGATTTCAGATCAAAAGTTACTCTTATTTTATATGAGAAATCAAAAGAGGAACTATTTCAAACTTTCTAGATGGAAAGACTAACATGAAATCAGAGCATATCTATAATAATTTTGTGCCCATACAACACAAGGGCGTCTCGCTTTGCAAGTTTCAACTTCTCTTGGACGATGATTATTAGGCACTTTCCCTAGCCTTTTTGGCTTATTTGCCCCGGTGCCTCTAATCGTGCTACTAATCTTGTATCCTATGTATGAAACTTTATTTTATTGTGTGCTAAATGAGCCCATAGCTCTCATCTTTTTCTATGTTTGTCAATCTGGTTTTTTTCTACATTGCATTTTATTGAAGTGTTGAGATTTTTCAACTTCGCACTTGGAGTTTTCATTTTTTTGTGGGTGCAACTCAGTTATAATTTACAGATTTTTATTAGTTGTATAAATATTTAGATCTTTTATAATTTTATCATAATAATAAAATTTTGATGATTCCTCGATAAAACAAAAAAGGAAAAAATTTCCTCACTAGTAGGTTCACATCGCAGAAAAATGCATCTTTTTTAGGGGTTGTTTAGCAACAAATGAGATTTAATTTTATTGGGATTTAGTAAATCTTGTAAATCCGAATTTAGTAAATACTAAAGGTGTTAAATCTTGAAAATTATTTGATATGACAAATATTAAATCCTGTTAAATCTTAAAAAATTATTTAGTAACATATTTCAAAATTTATGACAGTTAAGAATTTAAATGTGAAGAAGATAATTATAAATAAAAAAAAATAATGTGTTATAAATTTAATGATATGTTAAGTACAAGTTACTCATTAATTATTATTTACATTATTAATTATACATATTTAAGTTATATTAATTAAGTTAATTATTAATTATATTACTAATTATTAAATTAAGTAAAATTATATAATTAATTTATTCACTAATTATACCATTAATTATTTAATTATTAATATTTAAATTATTTTAATTAATTTAATCAATAATAACTTAGAGGCGTCTAGGGTTTGTCTTTCATCTTCTCTTTTCGTCGTTGCTGTTCGGCTTCGTTGCTTCGCAGAGGTGTAGAGAGTGCACGCATCGCTTCTTCGGCTCCTTCGTGGTCGTTCGACTTCGCTCCTTCGACGACTTTACCTTCCTGTCGGATCGGAAGTTACGACATTTTGATCGGAAGCAACAACGGGAGCTCGCTGGTTGTGAAGGTAACTTTCTACCTTTCGCGCGCTTCGTTGGCCAAATCCATAAATCCGCCGAACCGGGGGATTTAGTAAATCCGGGATTTAAGCCGTAAATCCTTAAATCCGGGATTTACCCATCGCCGGGATTTAACGCGCGCACAAAAACCATTTGGTTAGATTTAGCGTAAATCCGACTTAAATCCCGCTGTAAATCCGATACCTAACAGCACCTTAGCAGCCTCGTGAAACCTGTGTCTGTCTAGGGTTTGCTTCGGCTTGGCGTGCATCGCAGGAAGCAGAGTTTTGAAAGAGTCGCTAAAGAGCTTCTTGGCCTCTTTGACGACGTTGTTCTTGTAGTATTGGACTGATCGGAAGTCAGGACGGCAGCCTGCGGCGAAGTTAACTATCTTTCTTCCCCTTTCGTGCGCTTCTTCGGCCAAATCCGGTATATCGGGTGAACAATAGGATTTACTAAATCTAGGATTTCGGCGATTTACCTTGCCGTGAGATTTAAGCAGCCATTTTCTTGCGTTTGTCAATATTTAACTAAAATCCTTCTTAAACCATGCTAAAAACCTGCTACAAAACAACCCTCAGAAGCCCTATCGCACTTCTACATTTTGCCAAACCCAAGCAGCTTCTTCTTCCCCGACCAAGCGAACATATATTGTCCAGTGAGAGTTTTGCTATTCCTTCTCCCAGTAGTGGCACTGCTGAGGTTCCTCATTCTTTTTTTTTAAAAAAAAGGTAAACTGGAGAAGCTTGAGCTTCTAAGAGAAACTTAGTACATTCTCCCTGTTGTTTGATTCCTTGGTTTTCTTACATGAGTTTGAAATGCAGACTAAAATATTGGCATGCATTCACACAACAAACATTTTTGTGAAGTACGTACTTGACGAAGTTTTGATTCCAATTGTCTTCTCTTTGAGGTTCTAACACAAACATCAAAATATACAGCTTCCATGTCATAACCAACCAAACAATTCTCCAATATAGAGCTGAGCTTCTTCCAGAAGCCTCGAACAACACCATTTAACACAACCTCTTCAAGGTGGCGCCACTTCTCATTATTAGAGAAAGAAGCAATTTTCTCATTCTTCTAGTCTCCTATGTCTGTGTTCCTAGGTGGATAAAACGGTGCGATAAATCTTTTGCTTAAGTCTTTGGGGCTGTTTGATTTTCTCTAACCTGTTATATTGTTTTGTTGAATGACATTGGTAAAATTGGACTCTTGCATATGAAGATGTAAAAAAAAAAAAACACAATGGGTGGCATCTAATCTTATGTCAATACCGTACACCCATATTCGTTGTATTTAGGTTGATTAAGTCATTACAAAAGCTTGAACCCTTTTCAACTAGTTGTCGGTTAAAGAAGCAGCTCAGTACCAAAAGGTTGAAGTTGCTCGATACTATGAGAGACCACCCAAAATCCATGAACATGCTTGCTTGTCATGGCTATTTGCCTACAAAACTCTGCTATTCATTCAAAGTACTTGCTAAGAAGATTAGTGTTCTCGCCCAAAAAACTTGTTAAGGTCTTAAGGGTATTCACCCTTTACTTGGAAGTTGCTTGAAATTCTCGCTAGTTGAAAAAATGCCGGTTAGACTCTTTCTCTACACAACTAGCTACACTAGATCTTTATATGCACTTATCTTTTTATGTAAATCGTTTGGCACCATGGAGCATTGCCCCTACCTGTAAATAGGGGTTATTATTTGAGCACGAGCATGAGATGTTTGGGCCCAAATATTCTCTTTGAACATTAAATTCTATCTAAGATTCTCTCTTAGACTCTCTCTTTAAAATTGATTGTAACCATGCTATGTTGCACCATAATTCTCTTTAAAGGATTAACCAAGTCTTCAATAAACCAAAGTCACTAATTTATATCTCTAAATTGAATTTTGGCATTCTCATCCTTGAATCGATCTTAATGTGTTGTAACATCTTGGTTTGAGTCCATAACCAACATTGGATAGAATGTGTGATGATAGTGGACCATGCCTAATAATAAGGAACTAGATTGTGGAGCGTCTAGATGAATGAAAAAAGCTCCTACATAACAAACATCATGCTAATAGACGCAACACTTGAAGGATTGTCTTACAAGTATTATTGACTTAATCCTCATGACGTTTTCCTCAAGCTGCTCCTTTAGCTCATTCGTCATGAGAGAATCAGTTAGCCATCTCTTGTAGGGCCACAACTTCACTCTCAAAGTTAACTTCACTCTCAAAGTTATTGCACCGGCTCCTTACATTGATGAGCCAGATCTCTCATAGGAGAGTACTAAAGGAACTCATCTCCCTCGCTATAATAGCAAATGTTAGATCCGACGCATTAACACTTTCTTTATAGAGATGGTGGGAGCGTTGCCATAAAAAAAATTCAAGTTGCTTGCTTTAGATTGTTATAAGAGATGTTTAGATATGGGTGTTTACGTTGCTTGCTTCAAGGCAGCAATTTCCCTTTTAAGTATTAGTGATGCAGATATGGCTATTTACGTGCCTGCTTCAAGTCAACAATTTCCCTTTTAACCGTTAGTGATGTAGTGAAATGCAAACATTTTTTCTTCATATTTAAAAAGAAACTATCATCGTAGTCCTCTTGTTTGCCGCTAGGGAGTAATGCTTGTTTTCTGATTTCAAGCATCAATTTATTATAATGCTTGTTTTCTGATTTCAAGCATCAATTTATTACTCAATTTTCTAGTGCTTCGATGCTTCTAAAGAATTCCCAAGCCCTATTGAACATAAGCGGGAGCCATCAAGTCACTTAGCCATTTACTATTTGAATTTGATGTGAGATGCTAAACATACAAGATGTGGAGTATGCTATCGCCCAAATAATGTTCATTCATGGTCTTTGTGAGGGTTCTTTTGTTATGATCAAGATAATGTAGGCCAAGTTGCTGAAAATTGCCAACAACCACATTAATTCAAAAGAATACAATCTTATAACATTAGCCTAAATTAGTAGATGCACCATTTTGAACCCATTAGAGGCTCACGACAACATCCCGAGATTGTAGAAATGAGTCATACAACAATAAAGGTCAATTAAGTTGAGAAGTTGCATCATCATCATTAGGGATATTGCCAAAACCTAAAGCTCCAACTTGAGAGACTTGAAAGAAGCATCCAACTAGGGGTGTAAATGATATGATTCGAGCTCAAGCACCCCTGGCTTTAGCAAGATTAATTAATTGAGGTCAAGCTCCTCAAGTTTTTTTTGACGAGTTTGAGCCGGCTCGTTTATTACAAAAGAAAGAAAATGATTATTACTCAAGCAATTTTTTAATAAAATGGTGAAAGAAAGAGAAATTAGATGAAATTAATAAACAATCACTTAATATAATAAAATGATTTAAATTTTAAATATTTACCTTTACCTAAAATCTTAAATTATAATATATTTTAAATGTTTTTTTGGGCCGGCTTGCTTTTTATAAAAGAAAGAAAATGATTATTATTTAAACCACGCTTTTAATAAAATGGTAAAAAAATGGGAAATTAGAAGAAAAATAATAAATAGTCACTTAATATAATAAAGTATGATATAAAATTTAAATATTTTAACTTTGTACTTAAAATCCTAAATGATAATATATTTTATATCAATACTTTTTAAATGAGTTGGCTCACGAGCTAACGAGTCGAGTCAGAGTTGGCTCAAGCTTGGCTTGTTAGCTCAACAAGATTGACTCACGAGCCATTTACTGAGTTGAGCCTGAGCCGCCTCACGAATCAGCTTTACTTACTTACACATCTACATCCAACCTATGACCCCTCTTCTTAAATAGAATACATTAAGAAAAATACTAAGTAATTTTTGCTAAATTTTGTAATTTTGGCATATGGAATAAATGTTAACCTCGTTGATCTTTCTTTTGCTTATTTATCTGTAGTTCATTGATTTTATTAATTGAAAATTTAAGTAATTAATATAATTCATTTTTTGAGTTGACATTTTTTACATTTTTAAAAATCGAACAAATAACTATAAACCAAAGAAAGTAAAAACTTCAACTAGTAATCTAACCGATACTTCAACCACTAAACTAAATCAACTAAATAAGATCAGTTTTGATTTAATCTGAACAATGCAAACCATTTCTCTTGCAAATATTGTAGATGACGAGACAATGAGTATTTTATTCGATTTTTATCGATGCTCACAATGTCCCATACCCATGACTTTTCAAAATGTTGTCTTCTATAAAGATCTTAATCACAACATAGAGGATTATCACCACCTATAGGGCCTTATCATCATTTATCATCATTGTTGATGAGCTCATCTGCGTTAGAAAACTTTATAAGTTCCTTCTAGCTAACCCTGACTGAATAGGGCATCATGGAGGAATAGGAAAATTAGTTAATTATGTGGAAAGTGATCCAAGTACCAGGAGAAATCCCATAAATTCTCAAATGATACCAACAATTTTTTGACATATTTTTAAGCGATCAACATTTATTAGAAAGGGGAATTGATTCAAGAATCTTGTATTTAAATAACATAGAAATGAAATTGAATTTTGAGTCAATTCTCTTTTTTTTTATTAGAAAATTTCGTGTTCGTGCAAACTTGGAATCTAACATCATTGATTACACCAAATCAAGGTTTTATAAGGCGAAATCGGGAATCAAGGCGTTTTGTCTAAGCAAGGCGAGGTGTAAGCCTTAAAAAGAAAAAAAAAAAGAAAGTACTTTAAAAATTATAAATAATTCAATTAAATGACAAAAATATTAAGTAAATTATGAACACAATGTTTTGCTTGAAAATAATATTACTGGAACACAAGATTCAAAATAAATACTAACGTAAAAATAAAACACGCACTTAGGATTAAAACCCAAGACAATCTCATCATCACTTAGATTGTATTTTATGGTTGTATTTAAATAACATAGAAATTAAATTGTTTGACCAAATTAGACTCAGGGAATTTATCGCTAAGGAATTCATGTACTTTTCGTATGAGTTCTTTTGATTATCAATTTATCATATTTTTGTAACTT